GCGTGCGTTCGGCCGCATATGTGGCAAGCTGTCATATGGTAGTGTTTTTATTGGCTCGTAATTATGATCTTTCCGTAGGCTACAGAAAGATCATGAAACATTTGCAAAAGATATTTACGTTCCATTTTCTCTATAATTTCCTCTTCCACCCTGGCTGTCGGAGTATGCGTTCATTTGAGACGCCTGGTCCCGTTTATAATTTTTGGTTGCCGAAACGGGCGACTTTGAAAACAGAAAATGAGTTTGAAACACTGCTTGTGCGTGTAAACGTAACCTGACGATGTCCAGTAACCCAAGTACACAAGAAGACATGCACTCATAAGGCCGAAGTCTACTTTCAAAGCCAGTACGGAGCCTAATTGAAGTTGGCCCAGACGTTATATTTCTAAAACAAGTGCGCGTGTTCATAGGGATTTCCAAACAAGAGAAAAACAAAGCAAATCACTATAGTGAGAGGTGTTTGGAAATCGGATCTTAATGCACGTAACATTTTGCGAACGTTTCCTTTGAATTTCGTCAAGAACTATTGTTTATTCATCAATATTCGAAGGGGAGAGACGGCAAATGGTTGCTGGAAATATCGATAAGTCGTAACTGTTCATCAATAAGATGGCTAAAACGTGTGCAATTCCACTATCGGTTCCAGTGCTACACCAATACATTTACTACAAAAACTCTCAAATTCTGCGTAACTCTCTAAAATTTGCATTTTTGACCATATCTGGATGTAAGTAGGACCCCATGTTTTGGGGAGTGACGTCATGGTCTTGTTTTTACAAGTCATGGTTCGAAATTGAACACTCCAGAAAATACCTTAACATACCATAATGCTCTTTGTTTGTCACCCCAAAACTTTACACGAGTGTTTTCAATTTCTCTTGGGGCCATATTAACTCCCAAGAGAAACAAGACAATGCTTATGCAAAATGTTGGGGTGACAAACAAAGAGCATTATGGTATGTTATGGTATTTTCTGGAGTGGTCAATTGGGTGATCCAGTGTGCAGCTGTTCGTCGTCTGTTCAAGAGGACCTAACAGGTGAGCAAGCTTTAATACGATTTCTAGTTTTAAAGAGCTATTAGTGCTCTGGTTTGCTTCATAAATTGCGTCTAAAACAGCAGCTGATCAAGGAGTAGGGTTATACGCTCCAATTTTTGCCAGAACCAGCTTGTTCTTCACAGTTCGATTTATTACACTGAGGTAGCGTGTTCGCCTCTCGACTCAGAACCAGGGTTTTCAGTGTTCTCTTTTCCTTTGTAAACTGAATTTTATGCGGTAGCTAATCAAGAATATTCTCAAACTTTTATCAGAACCAGCGTGTTCTTCACAGTTCGATTTACACTGAGCCAGTCCTCACCTCTCGTGAGGAATGCAACGCATTTGAGGACCTTTTGTTTTTTAGAATTTATTTTTGCCTTTCGGGAGATTTTTGTCGACCAGCATGTTCTTTTGCAGCTCGATTTACATTGAGACAGCCTTAACCTCCCGTGAGGAATGAAATGAATTTGTGGACATTCTGATTTAAAGACCATCCTTATGAATCATTATGCCTTTCCAGAGACTCTTAGCCCTGTGCCACTCGATCATTAGCTCTTTGTATTTTATTCAAGTTTATATTTTTATACCTCAGATACATTCCGCCCCATTCTTGCGCTTTTAACACATTTTGCTTTACACTAATTTTTTCATATGTATATTACTACGCGGAATATTTGTCTAATCCCTGATGATCCGTTGATCGGCGAAAGCTCGCAATTTAATTTTTATTTTAATTTCAGCAGTCCAAGTGCTCACTTAAATTATATTTTACTTTCTAACGTTTATAGTTTTGAATTTCCATAAAACACAAGTCCATGATCCTAACATGCTCCAATTTACCAACAAAGCTTCAAGCCATGTTGTTATTGCTTAATAGAAGTGAAAGCCTAGAATGTGCCAAAGTTTTTTTTAAAGTTTTTCTACTGCGGAATCCATTGTAAAAACCTCTAAAATTATGCAACAAATCACGAAGATCTGGATGGGCACATTCCACAAAAGATAAACGAATTCGCCCCGTCGGTACTTGCCGGAAGGTAACCTTAGTTGTAAAATGTAAGGACAACAGAGAGTTACATCCGATAACCAGGCATATGCACCTCAGGTTTGATATAATTATTGCTTGAAACTAAATCGTCCAAGGAATTCCTCACCTTTCAATAGACTCTTTCATTCCACTGAGCAGTGCTCTTCTAAACCAGTCACAACGTGTTGCTACAATAACACGGTGCGCGGAAATCTCCGCTCGGCTGTTCTGCTTACTGAAGCGTTTACATTCTGTGCAAGTAGAACAATGAACTAGGTCTGTTGTGTCGAAGGTGAAGCTCATATCAGCATAATCTCCAGAAAGTAACAGTTGCAAGACCGACTGTGCGAGTGGGCTCTTATCGCCCGGCGGACAAGTGAGTACGGACTCCACACGTGCTGTGCTTTTCTAGAAGAATAAAGGAAAAACAAAAATCACGAGAATCGGAGATATTATCTTCATATTGTTAATGGACAGAATACGTAAGAGAGCTCAAGGAAAACAAGTGGCAATGAGTTAATTTTGAGACCACTACTCGACAATAGAGACGCTACGTAACATGCTTTGAACGCTTACCACGCGACTAAGTGTTTACGAGGAAATATGAAAACGTAAAAAGCAAATTCAGTTTATAGTTTTTGTCTATAATTTGTTGATTGGATGCTCTAAAAACAGTAGAGAAAATATCCGAGAAACTGCTCTTGAACAAACGCAAAAGAAACCCGGATTAAACTCTAACCCCTGGTTAGCTCTGATCGGCCTTTGAACAACTTGGCCCAGAATGCTTTGCAGGATTTGAGCCCAGGTTATTCCACACATAGATCGGGGCCCAGTTGCTCGAAGCATGGTTAGCGTTAACCAGCGTTTAATACCTTGACAACGTATTGGTTTTGATACTGCTTAACCAATGGTTAAAGCTAACCATGCTTTGAGCAACTCAGCCCGGGTGTCCACACCTGTGAGCTACAGAAAGACTCCAGAGAACCACGCTATCACTAATTAGGTTCATATGCAACACGTGCCATGTATGTGATCAACAGCCGTGTACTATGGTGATACGACAAAAAAAGGTAGTAAATTTTCCAGTTTACAGTATCTATTAAAATTCAGAAAGAGAATCCGTTTCTAAATGCCCACGACTTGATGATAAACTGGTAAAATTTCTTTCGAGAAATAATTTTCTTGATTCTGATTCGTCTACATTTAGTGGTAAATATGCCCACTTATGCCTGGGACTTCCAATCCGTTACAAAACAACTGGTGATTCCTGAAGAGGTAAAAAACAACTAACTACTTTTGTGCATGCTTAAAAAATTACCTTCGGTGGTGACGGATTTTCAGGTTTGTCTTCATCCTCGGATTCTACACGAAGGTGGTAAATTCAACTGGAATTAAGACACATACTATGACAATTATTGTTTATTAGATCTAACTTACATGTTTTGCTGAACTTTATCTGTGATTTCTTTCTTCAAATTGGACGGAAGCTCTTGGAACATGTCTGACTCCATGACCTCAAGATGTGCAGCAATATAACGTAAACATTCTTCCTAAAAATAGAAACAGGAACAATGAACCACATCTTCAGTGTGTAAATGTACCTCCGGATTAAAAATTAAAGCGTTCAATTTAAGTAACGGTCCAGATAAAAGGTGCTACCGTAAAATTCCGAAAATAAGCCCCAGGGCTTACATTTTTCAACGGCCCTTTTTTAAGGGCTTATTTTTGTAGGGGCTTATATTCGGAGGGGCTTAACTACGGAGGGAAATTTGCGTTTCAAAATCGATTGGGCTGGCCTTATAGTTGGAAGTAAATGTACCGTTTTTGCTTTGTTTTACTTTGTATTTGAGGGCAATTTTCCAAGTACAAGCCCCCGCGGGGGCTTATATTTGGAAGGGCGATTTAACGGAGGGCTTTTAGCGTTACCGGTTTGGGGGGCTTATATTTGGAGGAGCTTATACATGGAGGGGCTTATTTTCGGTAACTTAACTATTAGGGAGCTTAAGCAGCAACGTGCAGCAACGTTTTTGAGAAACGCACGTCAACCGAAAGTGAGCTTTTTTCTCTTTTAATATGCCTTGATGCTACGAAATTTGTATTGCTAGGTGTCTTTACTCTGATAGAGACGATCTGCTACAAAATTTGTTTACGGCCCAAGATTGCAAAAAGTCCACTTCCGGTTGACTTGCGTTATAGAGTGTTTTCACATGACGTCACGGCGGCCATATTGGTGTCCCAAAACAGTGAAATGGCGGCCATGTTGGTGTCCCAAACCAATCCGTGGGAGTTGAACTCTTTTCTCATGCAAACGCTTTCCTGTGTTCCATAAATTTGTATAGATGCAGGCCACGTAAGTGAAAACGCTCTATTGTCTGTACTATACTTCTGTTTGGTCTAAACAACAAGATTTATGAAAACGTCGCAAAACAGCATGTATATTAATCCCTAGTTTTCCAACCAACTCTCCTGTCTAATTAACACAGAATTCCTATGTCAGTAACATGGGAAACTGTAAACTTTTCTTTTCTATTGTTTGCAGCTCTTATGATTGGTCGAAATCTTTAAACACAAGGAACGCCCTTTCAAAATAGAGTTCAAAAATGTACATTCTATTTTGTAAACTGCCTTTCTGTAGGTTTATGCATTCTCTGAGCAAAAGTGGAAACATTGTATGTGGGGAAAGCTTATTGCCCAATAATAATAATAATAATAATAATAATAATAATAATAATAATAATAATAATAATAATAATAATAATAATAATAATAATAATAATAATAATAGTGCCTTCCTCCTTACCCGGATCATTACTTAAAAGTGATTTTCTACCCACTGAAGAAGGCCCTGTTTGATTGTACTTTCTTTTGTCCTGACATTGATTCAATAAACTCATGCGGCGTGCGCTTTGCCAATAACAACAACGGTTTTCAATGCTTGTCAACCAAAGTACGATACCTTCAAACGGGGCACAGTAAACTGTTCCGCCAAACCCATGTAGAGCAGCACTGTGTCTTCATCGACATCACACAACAAAATCTGTTCGCAAATCTCCTTCAAAGAATCCACCTGTAACAGAATATAACACCTGAAAGTCTTTAACAAAGAACAAGAAACTGCTTTCCCTAAATTATATCACACAGCTAGGGTGTCACTGTCGTGTCAATTGAACGATCACTTGTCATAAGTAATACCAATTTCAGCACTGAAGGCGAGCACACACTATTAACTCCGCGGTATGGCCAGTACCTCACGCATGCGCACAGCCATATCATGCGGGCAGTGGCAGCCATGGACAGCTGTTTCGTCTTCAGTAGGGTTCACGTGTACTGTGGAGCTGACGCTTAAAGAAGTGCTTTTGCACTCGCCTCGCCTGGCCATGTCGCGGAGTTGATAGTGAGTGCTTCAGTGCTGAAATTGGTATCACTATTGAAAGCCTCGAAATCATTTCTCTTAACTTCTTAGTCTTGTAAAACTGACCTTTAAAAACCAACCTTGTTCTATACTGGTGATAAGTAAAAACCTTTTGTGGTTAATTCACTCGTTTGTTGATGGATACCACATAGTTGTCGTGAAAGATGTTATTCATCCGTTTGTCTCGAAGTAATCACCTCGTTGTTGATCGCGATGTTTCGGGTTTCGACCTTTCAGGTCTTCATTGGTGTCGATTTACTGAGTGAATAACGAACCCCGAGGGGATGGGGGTACTGAACAAAGTTTTATACCAGGAGGCTCCGCTCCGAAGTCTAATCCCATACCCTTTTATATGCCATTCTGGACAGAAAAGGTACCCAAATGGTACCCCCTTCCACAAACCTTGTTTAGAACTTTGGATCCCTTTCAACCGCTGTAAATGCACTTTCTTTAAGTTCAAATATGAATAAATCACAAAACTATTAAATTTTCGCGACTTTTACACAACTATAAAATCCTTCTGTAGCCCTTTTAGGTAATTTTTCAGAAGGAAATAACAGATTTCCCTAACCTTTCATAAACTTCAACTATTGACACGTATGGTCATGCTATATAACTAGCCTGCGAGCAAGCTCTCCTATTTGGGCGAGCAAAGCGAGCCTCGCGAGAGCGCGCGAGCGAGGGAACGCTCGCTCTTGCGTTCCCGCGAGACTCGCTTCGCTCGCCCAAATAGGAGAGCTTGCTCGCAGGCTATATTTAACGAGATCAGTTGGTCATCATACCTCATACTTGTCACTCAGTGCTAGCATTTCAGGGACATCATCCGTACTGAGAGTGCGCTTATCAAGCGTACCGCTGTACAGGTATCCAAGAAACTTGTGGAATAAACACGGGCTCGTGTCAGGGACTAATATACGTCTGAAATTTAGAATTTTAACACAGCGGGTTACATAATCAAATGACTCGTAAATGTATTGAATGGAGAAAGCGGATTTTTACTAACACGATTCAAGGAACAGCTTTCGTTTTCATGCCGACTTGTTAGCATTTCAAGCTGTGAGCGTTAAGTTGGTTACCACAGCGAGAAGAAAAAAAATAGCGACTAAACTTGTAGTGAAAATCGCCAACTGGCGAGGCGTGCGTTCGGCCGCATATGTGGCAAGCTGTCATATGGTAGTGTTTTTATTGGCTCGTAATTATGATCTTTCCGTAGGCTACAGAAAGATCATGAAACATTTGCAAAAGATATTTACGTTCCATTTTCTCTATAATTTCCTCTTCCACCCTGGCTGTCGGAGTATGCGTTCATTTGAGACGCCTGGTCCCGTTTATAATTTTTGGTTGCCGAAACGGGCGACTTTGAAAACAGAAAATGAGTTTGAAACACTGCTTGTGCGTGTAAACGTAACCTGACGATGTCCAGTAACCCAAGTACACAAGAAGACATGCACTCATAAGGCCGAAGTCTACTTTCAAAGCCAGTACGGAGCCTAATTGAAGTTGGCCCAGACGTTATATTTCTAAAACAAGTGCGCGTGTTCATAGGGATTTCCAAACAAGAGAAAAACAAAGCAAATCACTATAGTGAGAGGTGTTTGGAAATCGGATCTTAATGCACGTAACATTTTGCGAACGTTTCCTTTGAATTTCGTCAAGAACTATTGTTTATTCATCAATATTCGAAGGGGAGAGACGGCAAATGGTTGCTGGAAATATCGATAAGTCGTAACTGTTCATCAATAAGATGGCTAAAACGTGTGCAATTCCACTATCGGTTCCAGTGCTACACCAATACATTTACTACAAAAACTCTCAAATTCTGCGTAACTCTCTAAAATTTGCATTTTTGACCATATCTGGATGTAAGTAGGACCCCATGTTTTGGGGAGTGACGTCATGGTCTTGTTTTTACAAGTCATGGTTCGAAATTGAACACTCCAGAAAATACCTTAACATACCATAATGCTCTTTGTTTGTCACCCCAAAACTTTACACGAGTGTTTTCAATTTCTCTTGGGGCCATATTAACTCCCAAGAGAAACAAGACAATGCTTATGCAAAATGTTGGGGTGACAAACAAAGAGCATTATGGTATGTTATGGTATTTTCTGGAGTGGTCAATTGGGTGATCCAGTGTGCAGCTGTTCGTCGTCTGTTCAAGAGGACCTAACAGGTGAGCAAGCTTTAATACGATTTCTAGTTTTAAAGAGCTATTAGTGCTCTGGTTTGCTTCATAAATTGCGTCTAAAACAGCAGCTGATCAAGGAGTAGGGTTATACGCTCCAATTTTTGCCAGAACCAGCTTGTTCTTCACAGTTCGATTTATTACACTGAGGTAGCGTGTTCGCCTCTCGACTCAGAACCAGGGTTTTCAGTGTTCTCTTTTCCTTTGTAAACTGAATTTTATGCGGTAGCTAATCAAGAATATTCTCAAACTTTTATCAGAACCAGCGTGTTCTTCACAGTTCGATTTACACTGAGCCAGTCCTCACCTCTCGTGAGGAATGCAACGCATTTGAGGACCTTTTGTTTTTTAGAATTTATTTTTGCCTTTCGGGAGATTTTTGTCGACCAGCATGTTCTTTTGCAGCTCGATTTACATTGAGACAGCCTTAACCTCCCGTGAGGAATGAAATGAATTTGTGGACATTCTGATTTAAAGACCATCCTTATGAATCATTATGCCTTTCCAGAGACTCTTAGCCCTGTGCCACTCGATCATTAGCTCTTTGTATTTTATTCAAGTTTATATTTTTATACCTCAGATACATTCCGCCCCATTCTTGCGCTTTTAACACATTTTGCTTTACACTAATTTTTTCATATGTATATTACTACGCGGAATATTTGTCTAATCCCTGATGATCCGTTGATCGGCGAAAGCTCGCAATTTAATTTTTATTTTAATTTCAGCAGTCCAAGTGCTCACTTAAATTATATTTTACTTTCTAACGTTTATAGTTTTGAATTTCCATAAAACACAAGTCCATGATCCTAACATGCTCCAATTTACCAACAAAGCTTCAAGCCATGTTGTTATTGCTTAATAGAAGTGAAAGCCTAGAATGTGCCAAAGTTTTTTTTAAAGTTTTTCTACTGCGGAATCCATTGTAAAAACCTCTAAAATTATGCAACAAATCACGAAGATCTGGATGGGCACATTCCACAAAAGATAAACGAATTCGCCCCGTCGGTACTTGCCGGAAGGTAACCTTAGTTGTAAAATGTAAGGACAACAGAGAGTTACATCCGATAACCAGGCATATGCACCTCAGGTTTGATATAATTATTGCTTGAAACTAAATCGTCCAAGGAATTCCTCACCTTTCAATAGACTCTTTCATTCCACTGAGCAGTGCTCTTCTAAACCAGTCACAACGTGTTGCTACAATAACACGGTGCGCGGAAATCTCCGCTCGGCTGTTCTGCTTACTGAAGCGTTTACATTCTGTGCAAGTAGAACAATGAACTAGGTCTGTTGTGTCGAAGGTGAAGCTCATATCAGCATAATCTCCAGAAAGTAACAGTTGCAAGACCGACTGTGCGAGTGGGCTCTTATCGCCCGGCGGACAAGTGAGTACGGACTCCACACGTGCTGTGCTTTTCTAGAAGAATAAAGGAAAAACAAAAATCACGAGAATCGGAGATATTATCTTCATATTGTTAATGGACAGAATACGTAAGAGAGCTCAAGGAAAACAAGTGGCAATGAGTTAATTTTGAGACCACTACTCGACAATAGAGACGCTACGTAACATGCTTTGAACGCTTACCACGCGACTAAGTGTTTACGAGGAAATATGAAAACGTAAAAAGCAAATTCAGTTTATAGTTTTTGTCTATAATTTGTTGATTGGATGCTCTAAAAACAGTAGAGAAAATATCCGAGAAACTGCTCTTGAACAAACGCAAAAGAAACCCGGATTAAACTCTAACCCCTGGTTAGCTCTGATCGGCCTTTGAACAACTTGGCCCAGAATGCTTTGCAGGATTTGAGCCCAGGTTATTCCACACATAGATCGGGGCCCAGTTGCTCGAAGCATGGTTAGCGTTAACCAGCGTTTAATACCTTGACAACGTATTGGTTTTGATACTGCTTAACCAATGGTTAAAGCTAACCATGCTTTGAGCAACTCAGCCCGGGTGTCCACACCTGTGAGCTACAGAAAGACTCCAGAGAACCACGCTATCACTAATTAGGTTCATATGCAACACGTGCCATGTATGTGATCAACAGCCGTGTACTATGGTGATACGACAAAAAAAGGTAGTAAATTTTCCAGTTTACAGTATCTATTAAAATTCAGAAAGAGAATCCGTTTCTAAATGCCCACGACTTGATGATAAACTGGTAAAATTTCTTTCGAGAAATAATTTTCTTGATTCTGATTCGTCTACATTTAGTGGTAAATATGCCCACTTATGCCTGGGACTTCCAATCCGTTACAAAACAACTGGTGATTCCTGAAGAGGTAAAAAACAACTAACTACTTTTGTGCATGCTTAAAAAATTACCTTCGGTGGTGACGGATTTTCAGGTTTGTCTTCATCCTCGGATTCTCTCAGGAAACCAATCTCTTTGACGAGATTAGTGAATTCAGTATCGTGTATAAGGCTGCTAGCTTCTTCCACTACTGGTTCAAGAATGACTCTATTTGCCATCACCTTTCGTAATGCAAGACTCTGTAGATTGATTGAGAAAGTGACGCGAGATTTTTTCAGCCAATCACAAAGAGTTGCAGTGCAAAACAAAGTAATGCAAAATTCTTGAGCTAATTATCTCTATGAATGCCACACGTTCTAACATTGTTGAACAGAAGTTATCTAACGCAAACCCGGGTTTCATACTCACCACAAAAGAAGTCCACACTTTATATGAATGTTTCCATTCTTTCCAAGAGAGCTTTTTCTCAAATACTCTTGGAAATTTTTGAAGAGTGCGAATTTGCTCTGGAATCTGCAAACAAATCATATTAAAAAAAACTAGCCCAGCATATTCTTATCTTCGCATTTTAGTAGCTTTTTAGCATATTGTTAGATGTTTTTAGCTCATTCTTGGATGTTTGAGATGTTTTAAGATCTTTTTCTAGCTCATTCTTTATCATTCTTAGTTTTTAGTTTATTAGTCTTATAGCATATTTTTAATCTTTGTGAAGCGCGTCGAGCAGCTAATAGATGTGTGCGCTATATAAATTCACTGTTGTTACATTTCCCAGTGTTTGTTTAGCTTCACGAAAACGGGCCAAGAAGCGGGTTAAAACTGCTTCCGTCCAGTAACGCGTCGAGCAAAAAAGTCTTGCTTACCTCTAACATTATTTTGTCCATGGATTTAACTACTGCCCTGATTTTTTGGTCTTCTGATAAAGCACCAAAATCTCCCCTAAATTAAAAAGTAGAAATACGAAGATGTTCAAGACGTACGTACGGATCCAACTTTAGAAGAGTCACATGTTCAATTTCACAAATGAAACTTTACCTTTTCTGTAACAAAAACACAAGAGTCGATGAAACTTTCTGCTGAAATCTCTTCAATGTCATCACTTCTCTTAAGTGAACAGCCTAAAAACCAAACGTTATGTATGTTCATGATCAATTCGATAATGAGGTCGTAAACGTAGCTAAACGCCAGTTTGTATTAAAGGTAGCCATGCGTACAGTTTTTTAGGGTGAAGGAAGAAAAAGGTGGCTAACGAAACCACAACGACGAGGGTAGAAAAATCCTGTTGTCATGGTTTTTATTTTCACGTTGTTTTCGATAACGTCATAGTCGTCGTTTTGTAAGCTCCCCATGAGGTTGGAGGATCACAGAAATTCCTCACTCCAGAAACTGTAAGGGAAAATGGGTACAAAGTTTTGGCGCTACGAATTCTGGGATCATTTGGGTGGGCAAGCGATACTTATGATTGGTTATTGGTTAAGTAACGCTTGTCCACTCAAACAATCCCAGAAATCACTGCACCCACAGCTTGTACCATTCTCCCTAGAGTTTCTGAAGTGAGTATTTCAAGTGGTTTGATTTTGTGCTGCTTATCGCGAAGACAACAAAATGTCCATACTTTGGCTATTGGCGCAGTATCATAGCCTCCCCGCAGACGTCCTTTGGGGTTCGTTTGTCACAAACATAAAGGGTTTTGTCCCCAAGAACTGGAAGCCCTGGAGAAGAAGTTTCCTTCCCTCTTTAATGACACTGAATTCACTTACATTTCTGAGTGTTCGACTTAAAGACGTTGCCATCTTTGGGAGGTGCGTTTTCTTCTTATGATCTTTATCCGCTTTCTTTGTGATATTTTCCAGTGCGTCGAGGGCATTACCTCCCAGCTCTGTGGATGTCAGCCACATCTTTTCAATCTTTTTATAAAGGAAAAAAAAAAAATGCATATATTCTACATGAAAGTGGAATCCTAAAGACAGTGAAAGATTTAAGTCATTCACAAACTTCTAGAGAAGTCAAAGTGAATTGCTTCTCTTTAAAAGCAGGTTTACATTTCTGATGCCATTTTGTTGCGATCATCAAAGTCAACGTTGTTATAGTCATCTTCATCATCGTTACAATAGACCTTATTCACGATACCCGCTCTCTTTGCACACGCTTAAGCGCGGGACTCGTGTTTTGCGAAGTTCCTCCTATATATGTATATAAAAGCCTGGCTCAGGTTATGTTACAATCATCATCATCATCATCATCATCAAAATCTTCATCAAAATCGGAACTATAGAATTAATAACAACATTTACCTCAGGAATAATGTGCACAGCCAATTCCTCCTTGTCAGAACGACTGAGTCCAGACACAGAAGCTTGAAAAATAACCAAGAACGTTTCAACTAGTTCCACAAAACTCGGTAACCTGTACAACAACAAAGTATGTACGAGTCAGTAAGCATATACTTACCACATTAGGAAAGCCAAAACGCCCAAAAAAGCCTCAATACAGCTGGTAAACTAGCAGTAACCATTCCAATGACGGTAATTTCCGCTGGTACTGTTAATTGTACTCTACAAGCTGGTTCTAACTTTTGAGTTTGCGCAGTATAATCCTACGCCTTCGCGTCAATAGATAAAATACTACAATGTATAAACTATTTAAACTAAATTAAGGCACTTTCAAACGCTTCCCGACATTACTGTACAAGTGTTTTGAGGCTAAATGAGTCTACAGTAAAATCAATTTTTAGCACTGCAATTTTGAACTACGAGCACTTGCCTACCTCTTCCTACTGTGCTGAATAATTTCCTGGCGTTCTTCCCTTGACAAATCAGATTTATGCTTAGTAAAAATGTCGCAGAGTAAAGTAAACTTTA